TAATAGATAGTATGTATGCTTAGAGTATGGTTATGGTACATTATTCTGAAATATTATATGGCTAAAATAAAAATGGAAAAATATATACAACACAATCGTAAGTGATAAGTTTCCAGAAACTTTCACTGAAATAAGATATCTGCAAAATTAAAAAATTAAAACTAAATGGTCAGTGTGGAATTTAGAGATCTGATACTATAATATTTGGCAAAGGTGACTGGGAATATCAGCACTCACATACTATTTATGGAAAGACAAGCTAGCAGCACTAACTCCATCCAAGGTATAAATTACCTTTTTTTAAAAAGTAATTTATTTATTTATTTTGAGAGAGAGACCACACAAGTGGGGGAGGGGCAGAGAGAGAGAGGAAGAGAGAAAATCCCAAGCAGGCCCCACTGCACACTGAGCCTGACACAGGGCTCATCCTCAGGGCTGTGAGATCATGACCTGAGCCAAAATCAAGAGTCAGATGTTTAATTGACTGAACCACCCATGCACTCAATAAATTACTTTTTTGACCCAGGAAGTCCACTGTTAGGATTTTACCTTATTACTGGACTCTCACATGTATTTAAAACATTTTATATTTTTATATGCATTGTTTCTAATATTAAAAATTAAAACTTACAGACATTCTTACATTGGACAAATGAGCCATTAAAAGAATGATAAGGAATCATCTCTAAGAAAAATTGCTGAGTAAGAAAGCTAATAGAGAAGAATATATGTCATATACTTCAATTAGAGTATGCATTCTTTTGTAACATGTACATATATACATACACACACATATATACAATTTATATACATATGCATATATATAAAAGTCTTATTCAGTCCTCATCTTGCACATGAGGAAAGTGAGAGAGCTTTAGAGAGAGAAGGTAATAGGTCCCAGATAATATAGCTGGTAATTTGTAAAGCTGGCATGCAAACAAAGGTCAATCTGCTTCTAAAGCTTATATTTAAAATATACTTTTAATTATACATTAATGATATGTTACATCTAGCTCAAAATTAGGTAATTAGGTAAGAAACTAAAACTTAACAGAATCAAAGGAAGGCAGAAATGATAAACCAGCATTATTTTATAAAATAATGAAGTAATTTGAGTCACTTCTTCTAAAAAAAAAAAGAAAAGAAAGGAAGAAAGAAAAAAGAAAAAAAGTGACTCTATTTAACTGTGGATAATAACCAAAAGCATAGAGAAGGCACCTAACTGTGAATTTCTTCAATGTACTGCAAATAGAAATTAATTATGAGTGGGTGATAACACGGTTAAATGCCACCCAAAGTTAAATTAAATCTGAGAAACCATATGGCCTCCACAGGAGCTTTGTGAATCGAAACCATATTCAGAAAGAAATGAAGGAGGGGCAGTGCCTGGGTGGCTCAGTCGGTTGAGCTTCCAACTCTTGATTTTGGCTCCGGTGGATCACAATTTCACGGTTGGCTGGATCGAGCCCCGCAGTCGGGCTCTGCACTGACAGTGCAAAGCCTGCTTGGGATTTTCTCTCCATCCCCCTCTCTCTGCTCCTCCCCTGCTCGTGTGCACACACACACTTTCTCTCTCAAAATAAATAAACTTAAAAAAAAAAAAAGAAACCAAGGAAAGGAAGCAGGAAGCGAGGGATGGAGGAAGAAGAGAAGGAAAGGCAGAAGAAACAGTTTTAAATATTAGTACTTTTTTGAAAACTAAATCTCTACTATGCACTACATAATATAATATAGAAGCTAGTGTATGAAGTTTGACTACCTGATGAGGAATAAAAGCAAATAAAAACAATGATAATAAAACTCAGGAAAACAAGTCATTTCATAAATTTTTAAAAAGAATTAAATAATTTTCTGTCATGGCACACAGAAATCATATAACCTATATATAAAAGATAATGTGAATTAAAGCATAACTAATGCATCTCACCCTAATTACTCATTCTAACATAATGATGTTTTAAGTGTAGTGGCACAGGGTTAAAGGCACTCTACAAGGAGTAAGTGGTTTTTGTTTTAGTTGCCTGTGTTAGGGCAAGTCAATTAACCTACTAACCTCAAATACCTACATGTGCAAAAGAAGATAAATATTTGCCCTGCCCAGTTACAAGTTATTGTATACTAATAATGAGACAACATGTTTGAAAGCAATCTATAAATTATCAAGTGCTATTTAAATATATGGTAGTATATTTTCTAATTCTGTAGCCATAGCATAATACAGTATCCCACATCATCTAAAAATATGAAAGCTCTAGATTATTTAATATTAATAATTACAGAAGATTAAGCCCTGAAAGTGTTTTACGGAATTAAAAATTGATAGGTATAATATTTTACATTATAATACATGTTTGAGAAGTCGTAAGTGCCAAGCAAAACTAATAACACATAGATAACTTACATGAAAAGCATTTTAGACAAGTGCTAAGGAAAAGTGCTCCCAACTTATTTATTAGCTGTTTCCTGACTTTGGCAGAGTTAATGTCTTCAGTAAGAGCAGTAAGTAAAATGCGTCAAGAGCCCGACGCAGGGCTCGGGGCTTGAAATCACAAACCATGAGATCATGACCTGAGCCAAGATCAACTGTCAGATACTTAACTGACTGAGCCACCCAGACACCCCCTATATGTAACATTTCTATAATACTGTTGCAAATAAAAAACTAGAAGCAGAAAGTAACTATGTATATAAATTGATAAATCTAGTAAGATGTATTCTATATACACAGAAATATTCAGAATTATTTAATTTCTCAATGATTAATCTTCTGATTACAAATATTTGTGGTTTCTCGGGGTGCCTGGGTGACTCAGTCGATTAAGCGTCCAACTTTGGCTCAGGTCGTGATCTTGCGGTCTGTGAGTTTGAGTCCTGTGTCAGGCTCTGTGCTGACAGCTCATAACCTGGAGCCGTCTTCAGATTCTGTGTCTCCCTCTCTCTCTGCCCCTCCCCCACTCACGCTCGCACGCTCTCTCTCTCTCTCTCTCAAAAATAAACATTAAAAAAAATTTTTTTTAAAAATTTGTGCTTCAGTATATTCTTACATATTATAGGACAAAAGTCTATTCAGAAGCATACTGAAAAAGAAACTTCAACTTAATTTTACTTAATGAATTCATATTGTATTCATATCAAAAAGTATTAAGAAAAGATGGCTCAAAGACCATGATTTTACAATTTAAAAAAATCATAAAAGTTTTGAACCAGAGGGGTTAAAATGATTTCATTTTATAGATGAGGCCTAAAGAGATCCACTGCTTGTCTAAAATTATTATATCTCTGGTTCCTGAGAAGCCAAGCAGGATTAAAAATGCCCAGACCAGTACATGCTTAATTTCTCCACAACATATTAATGAAAAAATAAAATAAAAATCTGGACATAATCTAACTATAAATATAAAGTGAAAATTTTAATGGTAATATATTTGTTTCGCTGGAAACAAAGTGGGTTTTTAGACATGTAAGATAAAATGTTCCAGCACTTGGGTATAAATGTAAGAGCCAACTATAAAAAAATTCTTAGTCTCTGCTGTAATAACATATAAAAAGCATACAAAAAAGCTGAATACAAAGAACTGATAAAAACTAAGATTTTAAAAATGAAATCACCTATTTATCTATAGAGGGGATCAGCAAATACAAAGAAACACATACCATCATAAACCTCTCATGTTAGGTAATGCTTTGTTGGCCAAGAGAGCAGAGTACCATATAAATTTCAGCTGTCGGGGCACCTGGGTAGCTCAGTCGGTTAAGCCTTCAACTTCTGCTCAGGTCATGATCTCGCAGTTTGTGGGTTTGAGCCCCATGTCAGGGGCTGTGCTGACAGCTGTCTGTGCTGACAGCTCAGAGCCTGAAGCCTGCTTCAGATTCTGTGTTTCCCTCTCTCTCTTCCCCTCCCCAGTTCATGCTCTATCTCCAAAATAAACATTAAAATTAAAAAAACAAAAAAACAAAAAAAACAAATTTCAGTTAACTCAGCTAAGTCATAAGTGAAACACTGCTCTTGGGAAATAGATAACGGAAAATGAAAAGCCTATCCATATTATATTCCAAAGAATATAAGAATCAAGAAAAGAAATTTTTCAAAATATAAAAACTGTTAGTCATTGCTGCAATATCATGTGAAGCTTATGAAAGAGCTTGGAGAAGTACCTTCTAAAGTGAAGGTGAAGAAGGAATTATGAAAAGCTGATATGTTATCAATATACATGTTCTTGATGTGGAAAGAGTGGAGGAAATTCCCAAAGATATACATGTGGCAGAGATGATATCTGACTAAATTAGTGGACTAATTTCCAATAAGGAAAAACAGAAAACCTGAACTTTTAGGTCAACATGCCATCGTAGAAAGGGAGGGAAGGAGGAGGTGAAGTGAAGAAGAAAAAATGAACACAATTCACAGGGAGGAAAAATAAATGACACAAATTTCAAACAGACACACACACACTGTGTGAAAGTTCATCTTTGACATAACCTGAAAGAGTATTAAGACTAATGGTAAGATATAACGTGTCTCATAAAGGAGTAAATGAGATCTGAAAAGAAAGCACGTAAGTCCTACCTTACAATATTTGCCCCTACTTATTAATAATAACTTCCTAAAATTATTATTTTTTTAACTAATTAACACAAACTAGAGTAATCATTAAAAGTACGCTTTGGTATAGGGCTTATCTGATACATTGCAAATTCATAGGCATCATAGTAAATCAAAAATATGGTTTCAGCAACAGAATCTGGATAAGCAAAGTTTAACTAAAACCACATCACTGTAATTAATGAATTTCAATTTAAAAAATCAGTATACTGAATGATAGCACCGATGAGCATGCCTGCTATCAGTATCCTGCACCACAGAGCAGCATCGTAAGTCTTCCATGAAATAAAGCCAGAGTGCGCTGAATCAACTGCTATCACAACGATGACCCAAGAGGGGACTTCTACTACCCAAGATCCACATGAAATGTGGCTACAATTCTGTAACCTGTGCTACTCACCTTGTCTTTGAAGATATGTGGATTTTGGTATATAAAATCTCGGTAACTTTCTGTTCGCACTTTGTCCTAGAGGGGAGAGAAAAACATTCTGTTTACAGGATAGACTAAAAATATAAAACGTTTTAGGAAGCTATTTGTTATTTTATCACAAATTGCTAATTTCCAAAGTTATTTTTTGCTTGGAAAGCCAAGCTTAATTTTTTTGTCCTAAAAGAAAACAATAAAAAAACAGAAATACCAACAACACCCAAAGAACGTGTTTCAGAAAATCACTAAAAGTCAAACAGGATCGAAGTTCTTAAAAGATGTATACATTTTTTGTCTTGACATGCATTGTCATTATAAGACTTCAACTAATAATTAAAGCTAATAGAAGATGAACATGATGTCTTGCTCCTTTCAATAGAGGCCGACTCCTTGTAGTAGAGGGACACTGCTATGTTAAATGTTAAAATGCTGTATCAAAACATGGGAGAAAAATATCCAACACAGATAAATGTAAAACTTACAGTTACATACAAAAAATGAATTTACACTGAGTATGGTTATTCTAAGAAAGTCTACCGATCAGCACCTATCTGATTTATAATCCTGTTTTGTTTATAGAAATGTCTGTTGTAGGAAACGATGCTTAAAAGCCTGTAATCCTGAAGATAAATCATTGGAGCCCTGCAGCCCACATTTATGAGCCTTCTCCACTGTGAAGTCTCACATGACCTGTACCTAAGACAGGCATCGAATGTGAACATTTAGTTTCGCTCATGAAAAGAGCAGATTCCCTTTTAAATTACTTCAGTTGAGACCTACAAAGACAGCGAATTAAGCAGGAAGGGGCTCTGCTGCCAAGTAAATAAAATGAGCACAATAAAAAGAAGTCAGCAATTCCAGTTTGGGGTTTCACACCAGGTAAAAAGAAATGTTACACCAAGTGCTACAATATCAAAATTTTGGCAATACATACACTTCAAAAAACATTTTTAAGCCAATACCGGGAAATTTTTTATTAAAAAAATATAAAGAAGTTCTCAGATTAAAAGCCATGTAGTTTTTACTTAATTACAGGATATAAAAATGGGGAGGTGCACAATTAAAATTCTGTGTTTTCTGTTGGAATTCTAATTGCTCCACAAACAAAAATTTTAAATCAGGTTTATTAAACCTTTCCCTGAAGTTATTTTAAGAATTACTGAGAGGGCTTGCATGAGTCGTTATTTAAGCTGTCCGGCCTCAGCCAGGTCACGACCCGGGTCCAGGAGGCGCACAGCCCCGATCAGGCTCTGGCTGATGGCTCGGAGCCTGAGCCCACTCATTCTGTGCCCCTCTGCCCCTGTTCATGCTCTGTCTCTGTCCCAAAAAATAAATAAACGTTGAAAAAAAAAAAAATTAAAAAAAAAAAAAAGAATTACTGAGAGAATCTAATGTTTAAATAAACTCACACATGTTAAATAATGAAAAGTCTCTTTAACAAAAATATACCATTCCATACATTTTTGGGTCATTTTTATACTCTCCATACACTACAAGCGGTGATTTTCTGCTGCGTGAACATCAGCCCATCAGCTCTCGCCAATCACACCGCCTCACCACTACTCCAACTTCATCACTCGCACCCCAACTCCTGTCCTAAATCCGTGCACCACTGCTCCCGCAACTGCAGTCCTTCGTCTCCTCCATGCCGGGCTCATCCTACAGATTCATGTGCTTTTGTTCACATGCTCACCCTGCTGCAATAAAATTCAAAGTATACCAAACACGGTGCCTTGGACATAGCAGAGCTTCAATTTAATAACTGAAAAAAAAATCCAGTGAACATGAAAATGCAAGAAATAAAAGACTAGCACTCCTAACCACTTCTAAGAATGTATTCTCAGAAAAGACTAACACTTCAATACAGAATAATGCAATAAATAGAAATTTTAAAAATTACTGTTTTCAACAACCTATTAAAACTAAGAAACACACAAGAAAAATAGAATTATTAAGAAGCAAAACAATCTTTTAAGACTAGTCAAGTCCCATGGAATTATTCCTACAAATATAAAAAAAATATTAAAAATGAGACTACAGAAGAGTTACATAGCATAAATTTCATGTACATATAAACAGCAGTGTGTTTCAAATGGATAGGCTGATGAAGGGGGAGGGACTGCACAAGTCAGCTGCAGACACCATGAGAAGAATGCGGTAAAGAAAAGTTATTTAATGGTACTATGATCTGTGATAAACGTTCACCAGGATGAACAGTATTTTTCTTGGAAAAAAAGAGAGTGATGCATCTCAGACTTACAACATTAGTCAACAATGACTTCAGAAAGATAAAGTGGTGAAGGATTTTGTAAGTTCATGTAATCCATCCCTCCACTGACTGTATCTCTGGAATTCAAAACCATTATCTTCATCTGAACTCCAGAAAGTAAGATCACAAAGTACCTTTCTTTATAATTATAATCACAGCATATGCCAAAACAGTGTCATTGAACTATCTGAGGCTAAGCAACCAAAAATCGAAATACTATTCCTATAAAAGCAAGGCCAGTTCTGAACATTAAGATAAGTTGTATACGTGTTTCTCCATTCTAAGTTCTTTATAAAGATCAAGTGAGATCTAGTAGCACAACATTAAATAGATTATGTGTGCTAAAAAATGTTTTGATAAGAAACAAAATATTACTCGATACACAGAACATTTCCTACTCATCCGCAGCACATAGCTTAGCAAAATATAAAAAATCCTCTAGTTACGGACATACAGCTACAAATGTCCACAACAGACATTTGGAAGTAAGTACTCAAACTGGACTTCCCTGATGACTGTACCTAGGACACTTTTATGTACTACCTACTTGAAGTCTCAGTAATCTTATCTGTCAGAAAATCCAACACAATTTCCATACCAAAGCCATTAAAGGTTCATGGCATTTAAATTGATGGGGTGATTTAAAATGACAAACATGGGCTTAAGTGAATTCCTTAAAAAGAAAAATTCTAGATGCGGTAAAATTAATTTTAACAAAGGAAACAGAGCAAATCAATTTTTTTTAAACAAACTCACTCTGGACTTAAAATAACTTATCATTTATAAGATAACTGTTATTTGTAATGCTATGCCATAACTCAAGTGACAACAAGAAGTACAACCGTGACATGTCATTGGTAAAGAAATGACATGACACTACTTTAAAAGACCCCAAGTAGTTACAATTACTATTAATCAGCAGACCTCCACTCTGTGATCTTGCAAATCTGACTCAATAAATACATACATGTTATTAAATATCCCTGGTTATTTTAAATGCATAGCTGTCAGGGGAACATGGTCTTAGGGCTTCCATAAAATAAAACAATCTTGTGTGGAAGGATTTACGAATGAATTTTTTGCTGGCTGGTTTTAAGAAAAGGTAGTGGCCTCCAAAAATGCACAGAGATGAACATCTAACATTTTCAATAAATTTTTTACATTCCAATGTTTGTTTTACTATAAATACTTTTAGTTTCAATGCATTAAAAAATTACACCTTACTGTTTTACAATCTATAATACATGATACAATGCATAATTGCCAGGTACAGCTAGAAATCTACTTATATTTTACATGGGTTTTATCGTTATAAAAATTAAAACCAACCAAATTTAAAAACCTGATTTGATCAATTTAGGAAATTGATTTCAAATGTAAAAAAGTTATGCCATGACAACTGTGAGAATTATTTCTTAACTTTGTACCAAAGAATTATTTGCTCAAACTGAGGTCAATATTACCATATAACATACTAAAATTAATCATTCCCTTTGTACATTAAAAGGCAAATATATAACTTATTTGTTCCTATTTAACAGTTGCTCCTGAGAAGACAAAAATCAGCAGCAGTTGTTTTTTTCCGATGTTCTATTTCAAGCAAAAGATTTCCTAATAAAGATTAATAATGATCTTCAATAGAATTTACAGTGACTGTGATGCTCCTGTAGCCTTTTGAACCCAAGATGTGCTATTAAGCACCAAAGAGATTTAACAAGCAGTTCAAAAAAAACAAAACAAAACAAAAAATGACCAGTTCTCCTCTAGCATATGTATTAAGAACTTGTTTTATTCTATTTTTCCTTTAGTATGGACTTGGTACTTTTGTGCTCTTCTCTAACCTTTAGCATTTCTTCATGTATCCCATAATGCCCGTATGAGCTGAAATAAACACCATCCTCATCTTCCTGGAGGTCTGCAATGGCAGTAGTAGATGACGAGCAGGTTCTGACATCTGCGTTCATCACAAAATCCTGAGCAAATTGTCTGTAATCAATTTGAAATAGACCCTTGAGACAGGTTTATTGGACCGTGAAAAAAGGAAAGGCTAGAGGTTGAGGGAGAGGAATGGGGAGGGAGTGGGGTGTGCAGTGTGATGAGCCTTCTAACTCCATTCTATCTTAAGCAACTGAAAGCTCCCCCTGCTGGATCTCAAGCAATGGCATATGCAAACCCGGTTGTAAACATTCCTTCTGCAAACCACAAAAACACTGCCAACTGCAGATTAGAGCTGTTTGTATCTTTCGACTGAACAAAAGCACATTGTCTTTATTCAACTTTATTATTTCTATTGTTCTAAAATCTTATTGTAGCAGCTGAATCAATGTGGTTTATTTCAACACTATTAATATTCTTTAAAACCATATTATGTATGTCATGGAAAGGTAGTAAGGGCAGAAAGTTGACCCAAATGGAGAATTATTTACATACACCACCACCATGCACTCCAGCTCTAAAACTCAGTTCTCTCTCTGATCACAATACATAAAGAATCTATAATGGGGCGCCTGGGTGGCCCAGTCAGTTGAGCATCTGACTCTTGATTTCAGCTCAGGTCATAATCTCACGGTTCCTGAGTTCGAGCCCCCACATTGAGCTCTGCACTGCTAGCACGAAGCCTGCTTGAAATTCTCTGTCTCCCTCTCTCTCTGCACCCCCCCCTCACAAGTATGCATGGGCTCTCTCACTCTCTCTCAAAAATAAACATAAAAAAAAAGAATCTATATGTATATAATGGGGGAGAGTTGTTGGTTACTGGATTACCCAGCATATAATCTCAAAAACAGGGAAAGAGAACCACAATCACCTATACTATCTTCCCTATTGAACATTCTAGCAAACCATCAAATGGGTACTGAGGGAATGGCAACCAACTTACAAATCCAATAGCTAACACTATACTTGGTAGGAATGCAGAATCTCAGGCCCTGTTTCAGATCTCTGACTCAGAACCTACAGTTTAACGAATTCCCAGGTGATTCATATGCACATTAAATTCTGTGTATTGCCAGTAGAAAGCTAATTTACCCACTGAAGAAAATCATCCTATGTATCTGGTTTCTTTCTTTCTTTTTTTTTTTTTAATTATTTTTAATATTTACTTATTTTTGAGAAAGAGAGAGAGACAGAGCATGAGCAGGGGACAATGGGCAGAGAGACAGAGGGAGACACAGAATCCGAAGCAGACTCCAGGTTTTGAGCTGTCAGCACAGAGCCCGATGCGGGGCTCGAACTCAAGAACCATGAGATCATAACCTGAGCCACCCAGGCTCCCAGTGGTTTTCTAATTAAATACTACCTAATTATACTTTGATTCTTTAAAAACAAAAATTTCAACACTGTATTTTCCCCAAACCCAAAAAATATTAATCACTTCCCTTTAAAAGCCTAGGAGAGAAAAAGTAAAATGGAGAAATCTATTAGATATAGAGTAATTCAAAGAACAAAAGTTCTCAAGAGGGTAACACTCCCAGAAAAATTACCATTAGTACAAAAGTAATTATAAAGAAGTATGTGAGAACAGGTAAAACCACAGAATTTTATGTTAATCAACTATATCTATAACATATTAAAATGTTGCATATCATTAAAATTAATTTAAAATAAATTTAAAGTTAGATACCTACATTGTGCTTTCCAATATACAAAATGTTTTACCATATTCCACTTTATTATATAAGTCGTATGACTTTCGGAATCTAAATAACAAATTTTCTGTTAAGACTGATAAATTACTTCATTCTTTGCAGATCCTCACGTGCTCTAGCTAATGCAGCTTCAGCAGACAGTGCTCTGGCTTCCATATGTTTCAATTTTTCAACAACAGATGTATTTTCACTGAGTCCATTGGGGTATGAGAATGGGAGTGACACCGGTTCATAAAGATCTTCTACGTCTAAGGAAGGAATGGACGTTATTATTAAGCTATCTTCTAACAATGAAGCAAATACAAACATGTTAACTAAGAATAAATATATTCTGAGGGCCTGTTATGCAGCCAGCTGAGAAAAACTTGTAAAAGTACTTTTAATTAAATAAATATTTAATACTGAAGCTGTTTCCATTTAAAGAGCATGCTATTAAAGTTTTTCATTAGCTAAGTTAACCACATATAAAAGTGTTAATTATACTGAACCAAACCCAGAAAGAAACAAAAAGGCATTAATTATACTGAACCAAACCCAAGAAGAAACAAAAAAGTGGAAGGAAACAGCTCTAATATGTACTTATCACCATATTTCTTTCAAGTACACATACTACATTTCATTTCTCCTCAAAACAAACCTAGGATATAAATATTTCTATTTTAGGGCATGGGAAAATAAATTTCAGAGAAATTAAGTGACTAGCCCAAAGTCATTTGAACGTTTCATAAAAAAACTAAGATTCCCACCATGCCTGCCCTCCTAGCTCACGTTCTTGCCACTACACATGGTTCCTTCTCAGACCCTGAGTCTTTATCTATAGAATAACAGGTATTACATTTACATATTCACTAAGGACAGTATGCACATAAAGAATTCTATATACTCAGGTAAGTTTTTCATCCTGCGTAAGGGGTAGTGCAATCTATACACTGAGGTCTTATTGCTGATATTGAATATCCTGATTCCTAACATTATTAAAAATTCTTGGTTTAAATTTAATTTCACTATGTATAATTATTAACTTCCACTGTAGAACTAATAACTCTGCAAAAAGAGGTTAACACATGGAGCTAGTGAGTGTTATAAAATCCCATGTCTATTTACCAGTCCAATTAACTTTCAGATCAACATAAAGCAATAAAAGCAATGAAGATACATCTTCTCTTCAGTATAGCACTGCGAAAAATATGGCTTTTTTTCTTATCGTCAGCTGTTAGCGGTGACACTTCTTTAGAGTTGGGACAAAATAACCAAGCTTAACAAATACACGAGAGGGGTGCCCGGGTGGCTCAGCCGATTAAGCATCCGACTCTTGATTTCAGCTCAGATCATGATCTCACAGTCGTAAGAAAGAGCCCTGTGTTGGGCTCCATGCTAAGCGTGGAGCCTGCTTGGGATTCTCTCTCTCTCTCTCTCTCTCTCTCTCTCTCTCAAAAAATAAAGATTAAAAAAAAAAGGGAAACAAGTACATTAGAATATTATAACTTAGACACTAGAGCCTAAGTTCAACTTCTTATAAAAACAGTACAGCAGTATACCACTAAACTCTAATCCATCTGGCAGAATACTGAGTCATTTGTTTTAAAAAACTATAGATTCGTTCACTATTTAATTCACCAAAAATTAACGAGAGCAACAAAGTATGTCCAAACTATTTAAGGACAGCACCATATTTTCTACTTTGTACTACAACTTTCACTGTGTATCTCATTTTCAAACTTCAAAGGGGGCCTGGGTGGCTCAGACGGTTAAGTGCCTGACTTCAGCTCAGGTCATAATCTCACGGTTCATGGGTTCAAGCTCCTCATCAGGCTCTGTGCTGACAGCTCAGAGCCTGGAGCCTGCTTTGGATTCTGTGTGTGTGTGTCTCTCTCTCTGCCCCCTCCCCCACTGTGTTCTGTCTTTCTGTCTCTGTCTCTCAAAAATAAACATTAAAAAAACAAAAAACAAAAAACTTCTACACAGTTTGCCAGCCAAGCTGTTAGTTTAAGTTACAGATTCGAACTGATTAAAGGAATTGATTTCTTTGTTTTAGCAAGTTTCTGTTTTGCCTTTTGCTGCAATGAAAGGCAAAGTAAAAACTTTCAACACTAATAATACATAGACAACCATATACTAAAGCTTAAATGTTGAAAAGGAGGAAGGATTCACTAAACATTAAGATCCATAACTACAATTTATCAAAACAGTCTAATTCAAAGTCTTAAACCATATTCAGGAAGATGAATTTCCACATCTACATTCTGTCTTAGGAGGTTCAAATCACCTACATTCTGTCTTAGGAGGTTCATTTTGGCAGCTGAGAACTACCACAAAGGATGGTCAATTTGTCAAGACGACATAACAATTATAAATGAGTATAAACCTCACAAAAGCAAAAACTGATAGAATTAAAAGGAAAAAACAGACAATTCTTCAATCACAGAAATGTAAATACACCTCTATCAACAACTGATGAATTAGATTAGAAAAATCCAAAAATACATAGAAGTCAGAACTAAAATAATCAGCACCTTGAACGAATTATTTTTAGAATCCTGCACCCAAGAACTGTATCGGACACTTTTCGTAGAGTACCAATCACTAATTTTGTAGTTTGTCCGTCAACCTGGCTTTGTCTGATGTTTTTTCATTAGTGGAATAAAGTTACACATGCTTGGCAAGAACAGCAGAAAAATGATGTTGTGTTCTGAGTGCATTTTACCAAGGGATTTCTCGGTGTCAGTATGACTCATTAATGATGATGTTAACCTTGATCACTTGGCTGTGGTAGTGTCTGCTGGAAAAGCTAACATCTCCTTTGTACTTAAATTTCTTGAGGGAGATACTCTGAACCTGCTTCACCTTAAATTTCTGCCCACTAATCTTAGCATCCATTGGTGGATACTTTCTGCAAATTATTACTGTGGTGTTTGCCTAACAGTGATTTTCTATTTCTCTCTTCTCTTCCACATTAATGAAAATTTTACTCTAAGATCAAGCTGTTCCTTCTCCATTTATTTGATTGACTATGTCATTATGGATTCATGGATATTTATTCTATCCTGTGGATTAAAACCCAATAGTATCACTTTCTGTGTTGCTCAAATTACTCCAGCTTTGACCATTAGGATTCCTTCAGGTTGGCTCGGTATTCTTTTGTTAAGTCCCCTCCTCCCCCACTCTTTTTTTTTTTTTTTTTAATTTTTTTTTTAACATTTTATTTATTTTTGAGAGCAGAGGAGACAGGCATGAGAGCAGGGGAGGGGGTCAGCCTGAGGGAGAACACAGAATCTGAAAGCAGGCTCAGGCTCTGAGCTGTCTACAACAGAGCCACGGTGAACTTGACTCACGGACGCACGGAGATCCCATTACCTCGCCGAGATTTCAAACCAACCAGCCTTGAGCCACCCAGGCGCCCTGCCACCACCTTTTCTTTTTAAGTACGTCCTTAATTTGTGGTACAAGCTTTCCCAGACTCATCCTGTATCATCCTGCCCCATCCAAGGAATCACTCACTTCTCTAAAGAGCCTTGGTTCCTTTTACTGGATAATGGTGTTAAAATCTGGGCAGTAAGTGTGCTCATTGCTACTGGGGTTTTTCTAGGCTCTTTCAACAGAGCTAGGAAATACATGTGTCTATACTAACCCGCACATGCACACACATCTATATTTTTGTATTTATCTGAATATATATTAAAAAGTGTGGAATTTATACTGATACTTCTGATTCCAATCTATGACCATAGGACTTATTTTATCCTTCCCTATTTCCTTATTTGAAACCTCCTTCTCTAACAGTGAAAACCTAGCTCTTCTTATCCATAATATATTTACTTACTTGTCCATGCTGTTACATACAGAAAGTAGTGCCAGAATTGCTAATCCATATTCTGCGAGAAACACCTTTACTTAGTAGATTACAGCATTTATGTAGTTCTTTTTACCTATAGCCTCAGCACAATATCCAGTCAAGATTTCAGTTACTCACACAGTTCTTTTCTTCCCTACCCACTTCAGCTATTACATTATTCCTCTGTAATATAGTTAAGTTCATTTGTTAGTGTTTGTATTCCATTTTGCACCCCCCGTATTCTCACACACACATCCAGGATGCTTTGTTGTTGTTGTTGTTGTTGTTGTTGTTTTACACGAAGGCTAGAAGAAATATTCCCACAGTTCTAAGAGTTGGAGCTATACAAAAAGGTACCCTCAGAGAAGTGTCACTCCCTCATTATCCCTGTAACCTCAACCCCATTATGCCTTTCTTCCCATCCCTGTCCCACTAAGCCCCGTAAGTAACTACTCTCTCTAGTTTCTAGTTTCTCCTTCCTGTATTTCTTTCAACAAACGAACAGACACATGTACTTTCTCAAATCCCTTTCTTTCTTACATGAACAGAATATCATACCATAGATACTCCTTTGAGCTCTGCCTTTTCTCGTTTCACGGTATGTCTTGGATATCACTCTATCAGTTCAGAGATCTCCGTGGTTTTTAATAGACGTATACTACTCCACAGTGTGGACACACCATAGCCTACTCTATCACTCTCCTATGTACGGGGATTTAAGTTGTTGTCAATATTTGGAAATTATCATGCTGTATTGAATAATCTTATGTATATGTCTTTTCAGGCTGTTGGAGGTATACCTTCAAGACAGATTATTATCAGAGAAACTGCCGTATTAAAAAGTAAGTACATATGTAGTTTGGTGAGGTGTTGCCAAACGCGCATTCTACTGGCAATGTATCTCCACAACGCTGACAACAGAAATGTTGTCATACTTTAAAAATATTTACCAGACTGACAGGTGAGAAATGGTATCTCACTGTTGGGCAATTTTTGAACCTTTCTGGGTGAACTGTCTAATCATGTAATTTTCCCCATTGTTCTATCAAGAGATCTTTGTCTCTCAGTGGTTAAGAGTTCTTTATATAAAAGAATATTAACCCTTTGTAGAGTATGTTTCAAATATTACACAGTACTTAAAAAAATAACTCATTTTATTTACTCGTATTTCATTAGTTTTTCCCTAATGTCCCCTTTCTGTCCAAGATCCTATCCAGGATACTTCAGTATATTCAATTGTCAGGTCTCCTTAAGCCTGTCTTCAGCAATGACAGTTTCTCAGACGCTCCTTGTTTTTGATGACCTTGACAGTTTTGAGGAGTACTGGTCAGGTAGTTTGGACAATGACACTTACTTTGTGTGTCTGATGGTTTTTCATGGTCAGAATGAGGTTATCAGTTTTGGGGAGAAAGACCAGAGGGAAAGTACCATTCTCATGACATCATATAAAGAGCTCACACTATCAACATGGTTTATCGCTGATGTGATTATCTGGCTATGGTAGTGTTTGCCAGGTTTATCCCTTGTAAAGTTACTGTTCCTCCCTTATACTTTCATTGCTTATTTTCTTAGTCATCTTTATTAATTTAGCATCTTTACATCCTCAAAGCCTAATACTTAACAGATGCTCAATAAATATTTACTGAAAGGCAGTGGAAGTGCAATAGTCAATCATCAAGCTTGGCGCCAGAAGAATCACGACCTTCTCTTCCATCCTGCTCCACCAATGGCTAGGAGCACAGACAAAGAACACAGGCAGTGCACTCAAGGGCATGCCTGGTTCAAATTCTCCTTTTTTAACTAGGTCTCTTTAAGTGTTCCAGATCACAGTCATGACTTCATCCAAACTCCTGGAGGCCTTAGTTATTTACTAACAACAATAAATTCTCCTTTATTAAGCACTTGCCCTCTGACAGGTACTGTGCTAATACACATTATCTTTGCAACAATTTTATAAGGTAGGGCTCATTATCACCTTTTTTACAAGTTAAGGCTGAAAGAAATTAACTTTATATACCATTGGAGAGTTAGATTCACTACTGATCTGTACCCACAGTGACCAGCATACAACACTCAATATTTGTTGATCTGAATAATCTCTTCCTCTTCTGAACTGTACTACCTTTTCTACTTCTCATGAAACTTAACATATTTGACCTTATACTATAATACATGACAGACATTTAAAAACAAAGCACTCTTGGGGCGCCTGGGTGGCGCAGTCGGTTAAGCGTCCGACTTCAGCCAGGTCACGATCTCGCGGTCCGTGAGTTCGAGCCCCGCGTCAGGCTCTGGGCTGATGGCTCAGAGCCTGGAGCCTGTTTCCGATTCTGTGTCTCCCTCTCTCTCTGCCCCTCCCCCGTTCATGCTCTGTCTCTCTCTGTCCCAAAAATAAATAAACGTTGAAAAAAAAAAATTTTTTTTAAAAACAAAGCACTCTTATTAAGATTGCAGACTCCCTATGGGAAGGATTCCCTTATTCATGTTTCTACTACATTTAACATACTACTTTCATCCTGTGAGTGCTCAATGAATGACTTTGAATTTAGAAAGTCATAAAGAACACTTAGTGGGCACTTGTCATTTATTAAGGAGATCACTTTGGTCACTCTGGGGAGAAATGAGATTAAAGAGAATTTGTAAAAACAGGAAAGAATCAACCTGGGACTCAACAAATTTTAGAACTAGAAAGAATATCAGAAATCTGGTCTGGGTTCTTCATTTTATACATGAAGACTTAGAAACAGAAAGCTCTGTCCAGGGTCACATAGTTCCTGACTCCTACATTAAGGTCCTTAATACGACACTGTACCACCACACAACCAAATGATGGTACTACTCAAGGAAATGAGTAGTTTTCCACAGTTCTCACTATTCAGAGAACTTCTCAAATACACACTGTTAAACTACTATATGTGAAGGTACATGTCTGTTTAGATTGGTCTTACTGGTCTGAAAAGAGCAAACCCTCTACCTCACCTTACTGACACAAGAAACATAGAAGCAAATATAAACAAGGGGAAAAAACATAAATCATTAACCCTGGTAAGTTAGAACATTCAAGTATCTGTAAGAAGCCAACAGAATTTTCATAAGATCCCTGTTCAATAAGGAATGGTCAATGCACAGAGCAAGTAACTAAGTAAGAAAGCTACAGTCAGGAGATGAGAGTGGCCCTGCCCCAAGGAAGGCTGTAGAGTTAGTGCATGTAGGCAAGCCCAAGGAAATGAGTGGAATCTGTTCTGCATCAAAATAAAATCTCAGTAAACTGGATGTCTTAAGAAAAGTCAATTATCAGACTTAAATATGTCAGACAGAAGCAGCAAATATTATTGTCTGCTTTAAAATTATTTTGAATCAGTAGATTTTAAAATTATGGTTAATTTAAAATAAATTAAAAGTTTAATTAATTTTAGCAAACTAAATTAAAATTTTAGTCAATTTTAGTAGACTAAAAAGTAGCCTACAATTAAAAATTATTCTCTCAAGTCTCCCTATGTTTCAGAACGTCTTGTATACAATGTTTAAACAAGCTCCTATTTCTAAATTTCTCTCTGGTAATGATCAGTGTGACTAGCAGTTCTTAAAGTTAACTTTCCTATTGAGACCAACTACCTGGTGAATTCTTCAGAGAATTAAGGAGGTAATATATTTTCCTAGAACACTTTTAACCACCATTTTGCCATTACAAATGACCCTACGTTAAAGTAGATACTGTAAGTTCATCTTACCAAATTGAAGTAATAGGTCATCTTCTAATACTGGCTTCAAATACTCTTCTTTCTCCCAAGGCACTGGGTTGTATATGGAATTCATATACTCAACTGTAGGATTCTGGATATAAAATTAATTGCATGTTTTTTCATTGTATATAATCACAAACCACCCCTAGCAAAAACTAGGAAAATTAAGTAAAAAAAAAGGAACCATGTCTACCTTATGTAAAACCTCTATTTACGGAGTCTATGTTCACCTCTCACTTCATTAACTTGATTAGATGACTGCTTACATTAATATGCAATATGGTTTCAATGTTGGATTCAATATTGTTTGGATTTGAAGGAAGTGGCAACATAAACGTTCATTTGAATAGAAGAGAAAAAAGGACAAAGTATTTGAAAAATAGAAAAGACAACCACAGTACTTGGAATCACACTAGAAATTATTTCTGATCTTAGAGAAATATTGTGTATCAGTATTTCCCATTATTTGACACTCAATTACTTTTTCACATAACAACAATTCACCTCCTAGACACAGTTAAAAATGAAACGTTACTAAGCATGGTGTGTATTCATTTACTTGGTGCTGCATGTTGGACAAGTTCCTAACGTCCACGATTCCCCCAATGTGATGACTGCTAAATCTAAAACAGTTTCTCATTTAGCAGTTCTTTGTATTTTTCTAAAACCAGGGCATCATTAGTCACTGTGGTGTTTCTTTTGTTTCCAAACAAAATTATAAATTAAGCTACCAACTTACCTTAAGTCTAATAAAATTTATTAGTTTAATGTAGCCATAAAATTCCAGTCCTAAAAGGGAAAAAAAAAGATAATTCATCTATTTTCATATAAGAGGAGTTTGTCTAATTGACCTGTTCTATAGAGGTTAAATAATAAAATATTTCTGTCCTCTAAACTACAACTTACAATATTTTGAATTTCTTAAGAACTAGAAATAGTAACTTTAATACTTCTGAATATCTGAAGAAACAGCCATATGGATGACAATTTTTAATGTTTTTCTTGCATTTCTAAAAAGTAGGAAATTAATTTTTAGAATTCAAATCCTCATTTGTAAAAACAACACAAATCAGGAAAATTTGGTTGTAGATTTTAACAACTATTTGACAGTTGATATTACAGCCAAAAGTTTTAAATCCCGTATTTTTAGGGTGCCTACCAAATTATAATTTTGTCAGACATGGAGTATACAAAGTGAAATAGCTTTTATATTAAGTTAAATGATGTAAGTTAAAAAACAATAAGGCTTGTTCTCTGGTTCTCTTCTTTCCGGAAATGAAGCAGGATTTAAAGCAAGGAAGAGCAATAAAATGCCCAACCAACTGGGCATTATTTGTCATGAATAATGTTGTTATGAGAAATATAACAGCGTTAAAAATGTTTAGATGCATAATAGCATACAAAAACCTCTATTAAATGAAGAAAATTACAAAATTATTTTTAAAAACGTAACTATTTTTGAGAGAGAGAGAGCACGCACAAGCAGGGGAGGGGCAGAGAAAGAGATACGGAGACACAGAATCCGGAGCAGGCTCCAGGGTCTCAGCTGCCAGCGCAGAGCCCAATGTGGGGCTTGAGCTCACAAACCTGAGCTGAAGTCAGATGCTTAACCAAAGGAGCCACCCAGGCATACCTCAAAATTATATTTAAAGTATGATTCCAATTCAGTTTTAAAATGCACATAAAGGGACGCACTGACAGCGCAGAGCCTGCTTGGGATTCTCTCCCTCTCTCTCTGCTCCTCCCCCACTCGTGCACACGCTCTCTCTCTCAAATAAATAAACATTAAAAAATGCACATAAAAAAACGAATGAGAATAAGTCATTCATGTCTTACAAAAGCAGTTGCAGCTGAATTTATGATTTATAAACGTATCACATGTTTAATGTCTTTTCTAGTTGATAGTAAATGCAGGGACTAAAAAAACAATTCTGTATTTAATTTTAGTGGAATAGTGTAGCACTTCTGCATCCATTTAAAGAAGTAGAAGACTTTAATTATAAAGGAAGCATGTGTAAATGCAAGTTTCAAAAGAATCATCATCTAAGTATTTTGCTTACCACCTTAACTTCATCATTCCTTTTTCTATACTCTTACCAAACTCAACTTTGTATGCCCTGAAGTTCATGTTATGCTTTGACCTGGTGAGCTTTTTCTATAACGACCACCACCCTTTCCAAAGCCCACTTCTGTCCTTGCTCTCCCTAGTTCTAATACGATAAAAATGCAATCACATGCCAACGTTGTTTTTTCCTTTTTAGTTGTGAAGTCAATACAAGCTTAAATACAGTGAATCTTATCTAGAAGAATGACTTATAATTAGTCCTTCTTCAAAGGCCACTTGTCAAAAAAACTTCATTAGATACGCTGCTCCTATATTTTTCACCATATTGAACTTGTAGAGGAAAGGAAAGTTCTGGAAGAATACAAAGTTTGAACTTATATTTCACAACAACAATTTCCTTTATTCTAAAAAATACTCACCATGTTTATGGACCATGTTATCAATATTAAATTGATGCTCAGACTTACAATGTGAAAATGTTTCTTCAGCAGATGTAAATAACCTGAAAAATCAAGTGACAGCTTTATGAAACAGTCCCCTCAAAAGTCTAAATATGGATTTCATGTAAAATATATACCCCCCTTCTGGTGGTTTCTAAGAAAAAAAAACAAACGTACCTGTACATGAGAGGAACCCAGCACCACTACAGGGAATTAGAACTTCTGAGTCCCATTTTACACCCCTAACAACCTTTTTAAATGTCAAAGTTAATTTATTTGCCAAATAATAGCACTGAGATGATCAGAAGGCTTTTAAGGAAGAGAACTCCCTTTGATAGATTCTATTTCCCTCAAGACGTGAAAATTCCCTACAGAAGATTCTTTTCTTCTGTCAGTGCTGCTTCCAGAGGCTTTGAACTGCAACAGCTCAAACTGCTTTTAGAAATAAAGCATAACATGTAATTTTCACAGCTGGCATATTCCCAAAGTGCCATATTTCAAAGGTAATCTTGTAGTGTTCTGAAAGTACTTTTGTTACGGACATTGTGAGGACCAGGCCTCTTTATCATGTGACCTGCAAAACTGAAGGACACTTAAGATCGAAATATACAGCAGAGAAGCTGCATACTTCTGAGTGCCTAGCACAAATGCAGCAAGTAGTTTACAACCAATGTTTACCTTGCTGTGCTTATATACAGCCTATCACAGAGAAGTACATCCCTGATGCTCAATAAATATTATTTTATGACAACTAAAGTAAACATAGACATTCTGTACCTACGCAAATGAGGCTACATGTGAGAACAATGACGAATCAAGAGGAGCTAATACACCACCAATCAGCACCATGCCCAGATTTATGGGAAACTGGCAAATGTTTATTAAAGTAATACTGGCCAATGCCAAGCCACTTGCCCAGAAAGTCGGCCAAAGTCAAAGCTTACTGAGACGAATAGGCAGAACTTTAAGTGCAAAGTATAGGGATTTGGATATAAGAAAACCACAGCATTGTGACCTTGAACAAGTTATTGAAACTGCAGTCTCTTTTTCCCTAAGTGAAAAATGCATCAATTCCTTTCTCTTCCATAGGTGGGGAGCCCCTACCTAGGAAAGATGGTTCTTTGGATAGTTCAAATGGAAATAATGCTGTAACTTGAGAAGCTCTGCTGTAACTTGAGTAGCTCTCTACTTATAAATGAATTATAGAATGGTAAAACTGGAAGGGACCCAAGCGATTATCTAGTTTAGTGACTCCCAAACGGGTTATTCATTAGAATAACCTCAGAAAATGTCTTTATAAAAATAGGAAATTTCTAGATCCCATGACTGATTTAGAAGTGCTGTGGTGCAGAGTTCAGTACCTTTTTAAAGTCTCAGGTGAGACTTTAAAGGGTGCTCAACTAGATTTGGGAACCATAGATTCTGTCCAAACCCTCTTATTTCACACAAGGGGAAACTGAGGCTGTGGAAGAGAACTAGTATAACCTGCCTTCCAGTTCATGGCTCTCCCTCTATAGCTACTGTGCTTCTGCCTTCTCAACAAACCATCACTCCACTGGTTCAAGGATTGGAGAGCAGGCCGCTCGGGTTCGACTGCGGACCACAGGTACCCACAGGGCCCGGCACCCCGGGGGTGACGCCTGGCACTGGGGTGGACGAACCTGTCACAGAACAGACAGGGGGTCTGCTGCTTGTCGTGGGGGAGATCAGCATCGTCCTCATCCTCCCAAGCGGCCTCGTCACCGCTGTCGGACAGCTCTGGCAGGTCGTCTTCGTCCTCCATAGCACCCCGGCCGCCTAGCACACGCAAACGATTAGCCCTGCCCGAGACGGACACCAGTGCTAGCAGGGCACACGTGAAAGAGGTGGGGGGGGGGGGGGGGGGGTGGTGATGCTGCCCCCGCCCCGCTCCCCGCGGCCCTTGCCGGCGCCCCTCCTTCACCCTCCCTGCCAGGCCCCACCGTCCGACCCCGCGTCCAGGGGACGCAGCGGGATAGGAGGGTCTTTCTCCCGGCCCGCGGCAGCGCGGCCTTCGGGCTGGGCGAACCGGGTGCTAAGGGACCAGGAATACCCACCCGCAGCGCCCGACGCTAACGAGCACATGGCTGTATTGCCCCGGAACCCCGCGCGCCTGGGGGCGGGGACCGGGCTGGGCAGCGTGCGCGCAGCCGCTTCCGAGCTCTCCGGGCCCGGAAAACCGGGAACGAGCGCCAGCGCGCGGCAGGGCCCAGAGTTGGGGAGGCTCCCGGTCGCCTGGAAACGCGAGAGCGCGCGCGTGGGCTCGGGAGCGCTTCCGGCCCCGAGGCCACGGTTGTTGGTCACGTGAGTTGGGTGGGCGGGACGAGAGCCCGAGCTCCGCCTCCTGCAGCCTCCGGTTGACGTAGTGCGTGCAGAGTAAGCGCTGAAGCTTGAACGTCGCAGGCTTTGACGTGACTTTGTCTCCTCCTCGCGCTGCGGCGGATGTTAGCGGGAGGTTCTCACTCGCGCCCCCGAGCCCGGAGGCAGAGAGACGCTACAGCTGTTTTGCAGCGGGCACCGCGCCCTCTGTGCGTCCCTTATTCTAGGAACCAGCAGTTAGTGGAGGAGCGGCCCGCTTGGGGCGCCTTCTGGTGGCGGAGGCGGCGGAGCGCAGGCAAGAGCCTGGGCCTCCACTCCAATTCCTGAGCTACCTGATCTCCTGCAGCAGGGTGCAGCAGGGTGGGGAGAGGGAACTACAGGAGGCATTGTGGGTGTACAAGAGCCTACGTAGGGACCAAAGCCTGGCGCCGTTTTAAGGATTTTAGTCTTTAAAGTGCAGTGGTTAAGTGAGAGCACAGACTCCGGAGCCGACCTACTCAGTCTGAATCCTACTTCCGTCACTTTGTTACTGTGGTCTTGGGCAAGATCAAGACCTCTCACCGCCGCCACTTCCTCAACTACAAAACGGGGATAGTGACTTCACTAGCCACAAAACTACTGTAGGAATAAAATGACTTGATACATGTAAAGTGCTTAGACATAAGTGTTAACTTGTCCTGAACAATGGGAAGCAGCTGACCCTGTCGGTTACGCGAAGGAGAGATGCTCTTCCATACGTTTAGAAAGTAATGTTACAGCCACTATGTGGAAGGAACACAAACGTTCTCCTACCTCATGCCATTTTTCCTCCTTCTGAGCATATACTCAAGCCACAGAATGCTTTGTCAGGTGGGAGTTGACAGCAGTCACTTCTGTAGGGAATTGTCGCAGGCTTCTAGTCCCAGAGGCTAGCACGTTTATCCCATTAAATGTACTACCTTGGCTTGGGCGTAATCCTGACTTCCATCTCAACTCAACCCTTCACTCTGGGTCCCACCCTCCAGCCTCGGATTTAGAGCTAATGAGGTCTTTGCTAAGAATACTCTACAAATACAAACCACCACTTCTAAAAGTTTCCACTGCCATTCCAGCAGCCCCCACTTAGTTCCTTTCTTAGCACTTACCATTTGCTTGTTTTGTTTTCTGTTTGTTTTTTTGTCTTACCCCCAGCACTGTGTATGAACGTAAGGGCCTTGTCTCTTTGCTTTCATTTCTCTGGCACATAAACATGGTTTAACTCCTAATAGGTACTCATTAAATTTGCTGAATGAAAATGATGCCCTGTATTGCTAAACTCTTATGAATGTATTCCTCTCCTAGAGGACAGTATCTATCAAATATTGGTTTCCTACAGACCTCAGTATATCCTCATAGGGTCCCCTCATTTCATGCCTCCCTTCTTGGAGCCCACGCTTGTTATCACCCAAACCACAGGCTCTTCAGAGTCCAGCCCCAAAGGAACCCCGCCAGGTAGGAGGAAGATGTTCCCTCTCCTTTCTGAAGTCCACATCCTAAGACCCTACCCCATCCTAAAATACGTCTCTTTCCTAGGTGACTGAGAATGGGAATGTCCAGTCCATTCTACAGATATACCCTCCCAATTAAAGGGGATAGCCTTTATCCTCTGGTGTTCACTGAAGCTTGAAAGGTACCTGGCATCCCCTAGACCCCGTAAAAATTGAATCACTCAAATCACTTTGTTTCCCTCAGCACAGAAGTTAAGACAAATTTCACCACTACCCTTTGTTCCTGGATGTAAATTAACACTGTGTACTCTTCTTGACTTTGACCCTTCCTTCTGCATCTTTCTGTCTTTGTCCATAGTTTTTAAAGTGTGCACCTTGACATACATTTCTACTGGCTATGTGAACATTTTATGGTGAATTACTACAGGGATCCTAGACCCTATAAAAGAAACCACATATTTCAATTTTATTCATCCATAGCATGTACTAATCCAGTCACAATTAATGGAACTTCCTGGAAATACACAGATACTGGAGGCTTTTATAGAGCGGTTACAAATACAAGCTATGCAGTCAGGCTGACTTGGGTTAGAATCCTGGCTCTGCCATTTCCTAGCTTCAGGTCTTCAGCTTCAGACTTTGGGGCAAGGTGCTTAACCACAGTGAGGCTCAGCTTCTCCATCTAAGATATGGGGATAATACTCAAACCTATAAGGATTATAAGGATTGTTGGAGGGTTACAAGACACATAGCATATGTAAAGGCTGGCACTTGATAAATACTAACCAGTATTCTACCACCCAACTGACCAAAATGCTACATATTTCCACTAATACTTGGACATTTCCTAACCATATAAGAGGCACCCAGGACTTGTTCATTTGTTTTCCTTCCTATGTTTAACTTCCCCATGATTATACAAGCGCAGTTATGTAATAACTTTTATTACATATTCTAAAGAAGTAGTAAGGCACAATGTTCCTTTACACAAATACAGCAGTCAGCACCAGGTAACTAAGAAACACAAATATGACAATTTTGGAACAGAACTCCCCTGCAAAATATGAAAGGTCTGTACTGCTGCTCTGACCGCAGACAAGCCTTTCAAAGCAGGCCTCCCCACCAGTGGCACCAGAACCACCAGGGGAAGCTAAAACAAATCAACAGATCGCTGTGCTCACACCCTGAAGATTCGGATTCAGAAGTTGAGGCACAGCCTGTGAATCTACTTTTGAAAAGCTCCCTGGGTGACGCACATATACAGACAAGCAGGCTCTGCACTGCTGATGCAGAACACAATAATTTTTTTATTGGATCTGGCAGCTGAGAATAGTGAAACCGCAGTTAAGACACACTGACTTCTTTTAGACACCGAGAGTACCAATTAGGTGGTGAGTGTTGCATTTTACAGAGGGAAGCATTTCTCCAGCGTGGTCACGGCTTGAGAGAGTCATTGGCTTTTCCCAGGTCATGGATGGCGTTATTATCCAGCAGTTCCTTCTTCTTGCCACTTGGGTTCACTGCGTTGTTCAGCATTGCCCTAACGACAGTTGCCACCGGCACAGAGTGCCCACTGGCCCAAGATTCTGGTAAGGAGCCAAAGAACTTCCTAACCAACCATTCACCTGGACGAGATTCTTGCCTATCACACAAGAGAACTCTAAAGGGAAAAAGAAAAACCGAGGAAGAGATGGTTTATTGTATTCAGACCATAAAGGGTGTTATGAACTGAACAGTGCCCATGCCCTGCCCCAAATTCATGTTTAAGCTCTAACAGCCAGTGTGGCTGTATTTGAAAACAGTGCACTTATGAGGGTAATTAAGGTTAAACCAGGTCATAAGGGTAAGACCCTGATCTGATAGGACTGGTATCCTTACAGAAGAGGGAGAGATAGCAGAGATCTCTCCATGTGCACACAAGGGAAAGACCACGTCAGGCCATCTACAAACCAGGAAGAGAGGCCTCACCAGACAGTAATTCTGATGGCACCTTGATTTTGCACTTCTAGCCTCCAGAATTGTGAGAAAATAAATCTCTGTTGCTTAAGTCTCCCAGTCTGTGGTGTTATTCTGTCATGGCAGCCTGAACAGATTAATCCAATGGGTAAAAGATATTTTGTTTGATGAATGAAGAGGACTTTTTTTTTTTTTTTTTTAAGGCAGCAAAAGCTACCCAGGAAATTCCAGACTACTCTGAACCTGGCACTACCAAACTGTCCACCCTTTCCTCCAAAGCCAAAGGTATGTTCTTCAGAGAAGCAATCTATCTCCAGCCAGCTTCTTTCATATCTTCGAGAGCTTAGTTGTCAGCCTCTTCAAATGAAAAACTAACTTCTAGGGAAGAATGAACAGCAGCATACTCGTGGGCAGGATGAATGCTTACCCAGGCCTAAACACAGAGTAACGTTCGAATTGTAATTCTTCAACCCTAGCTTCCACTTCTCCCTGTTAATAAAAACCAAATTTTAGCGTTTAATCAAGAAGACCAATGCATCATAATGCTTAAGAGGGAATACCTTGGGGTTTTGAAGATAATCTGCTTCTGGAGGTCGAATAATTATAAATATCCTTATCCAGAATTTTAGATTCTGGGAAGTTAAGGAAGAGATCATTTAATCTTCATAGGCAGTAGAGAGTTCAAAAAGATGTACTGAATGAGAGGATGGCTGCATGGTCAGCCTGGCCTCTCGTGTGACTGATTTTAAAATAGATCCAGAGGGTAAGTAACATGTTAGGCGTTCAACCATCAATGAATAATCTCCCCTTAGTCTAGAATTAATGTCGCAGGCTGATGAACATCAACCTTTTTTGGTTTCCAGGTAGTTCCAGTGAAGTCAGAAGACCCACTGATCCTCTACATTACTGTCTTCCTCACAAATCCCATCAAATTTCAAGAGACAGTGAGATTACATCTACATGATGGCTTTCAATTAAATTTATTAAACAAACTATGAATTTTCATGCCAGCATCTCTATGAACAGAAATGCCAGAGGAGCTCAGGCCATGGGAATGTCTAAAGGCTGTGTGGATTCAGTGGCATGAATTCCCCCCCTTTCTTGGCCTGTTCATACCATTCACTCGGCACCTAACCTGACGCATCACATAATCTTGGGTAGTTTTAAACACTTTTGTAAAATTAATGTTTTTGACTATATTTACAGAGCTCTGCCACCTTCACCACCATGTAAGTTTAGAATTTTTTCATCACCTTCTCCCCCAGAAAAGCCCCACACCAACCAGCATTCACTCCCATCCCCTTCCCACAAGCTCTATCCAACCACTAATCTTTCTGTCTCTATAGATTTGTCTACTCTGGGTATTTCATATACATGGAATCATACAAGTTGTGGCTTTTTGTGACCAGCCCCTCATAAAGTTTTCAACGTCCACCCATGTTATAGCATGTGTCATGCCTTTTTTATAGTTGAATAATACTCTTTTGTTTGTATATACCACATTTTATTCATCCATTCATCAGCTGATGGGCATTTGGGTTGTTCACGCTCTGGCTATTATGAAAAATGCTTCTATGAACATTCACATGCAAGTGTTTATGTGGACAAATCCCTTAGTTTTTACAAAGGTATGTTTTGTCTCTATCTGCAGCGTGCATAAAAGAGTTAAGATAGCAGGCTGAGACTCTACTATCTTAGAAAGGCCCACTTGACCTTTGGCTTGTGTCTAGGAACTTGGATTTCAGGAGTGTCCCTGTCATTACCCAACCGGTAGGGTAGTTTATAGTGCCTAAACTGCTTGTACAAACAATGTGGTTTATGCTGAACACTTGGTTTCCTTCTGGAAGTTTATAATTTTTTCCAGGCTCAGGGTGCCAATGTGACTGACCCCATAAAAACTCTCAACTCCTGGGGTCAGAAAGTTTTCTCTCATATTCTCAACACGCACTGCGGCAAAATTAAGCCTGTGCGACTACTGAGAAAGGACTCTTGGAAGCCTGTGCCTATTTCCTCTGGACTTCACCCCATTCATCCTTCCCTGTTTACTGCCTTTGCTTTCCCTGTAATAAATTGTGGCTGTGAGTGTAACTATATGCTGAGGCCTGTGAGAACTTCTCTCAATTTGCCAAACTGGGGGCTAGCCTTCGGGATCCCCGAACAAGAAACCTTGAGGGCAAGAGCCATACCCAATAATAAAATATCACCTACTCAGGAACAGTTTAAGAATCACTGCCTCGAAGTCTCTTCTCATGCTAAGATTCCATGTTAATATTCAAGACCAGAGCTGCTACATCTTATTTCATAATTACCAGATACTCCACAGGGGGAAAGACACTGGGAATTATCTTTCCAATCACTCCTGTTTATTAAACATGCCTGTGCAAAAAACAGTCCCTGTCATTATTTAAAAAAAAAAAAAAAAAGAATCTAATGCATTTAATGCCTTTCTGTATTATTTATAATTTTACGTTATTTAGTATTGCCAATTAACCAGGGTTCTCCAAAATATATGAAAGACAGAAATGTGCACAAACCTTAACTTGCAGATATAAAAAATTGCTCGACTTATCAGCTCCTTTAGAGGACAGCAAGTTAAAATGTTTGCAGCCTCCAGCTTTTGCCAGCTCTGCAGACTTGAGGACATAATCTCGATCGACACGAACAAATCCTTCCTGAGGGTGAAAAGGATGGGAGTTATTTCCAAAAAGCTGTGAGTTCATCTTAAAGATTACTATTCAGGTTGGGTGGCAGGCCAGGAGGCCTGCAGGGGAATGGGGATCTAAATAAAATGCAACCAAGCATAGACCCTGGGAAAAACTCCAAATATGATCCTCAGGATAGACGGACCAGCTTTAGCAGCGAGGCCAGTGAGAAAATAAGGACGGTGACATGGAAACACAGACACCAAACAAATCTGCAAGGAGCAAAAGGAACAGTAAGGTCGGCTGAGAAACTGCTTTAACTCACACATTTCTCTGTCTTTTAATAACTTTACAAGCTTACAACCCTCTCTCTCTTTTCTCTGTTTTGTCTGTGTCAGGTTTAACGTACAGGGTCTGAAGGCACAGCCGAGAACACTATCTGGGCACTACCAGAACGAAGTCTATTTAATTTCCAATTTTTGTATATGTTTTACATCATACTTTACATATTAATGAAGAGTGAATCCTCAAATTGTTTTACTGAGAGGTATATGATCGGGAATGTTTGGGGGCCCCCAGTCTAGACTCAGTCTGGTGAAGGCAGTGGCGGGGTCTTTCTTCTTAATTCATATCTCAGCATCGGTGTGTGCCTGGCACACAAGAGGTACTCTAAAAGTATCTGAATGAACAAATACAATCCAACAAAAGAAGAGAAAAGGCAAATCCAATTAGAGAGAAAAAAAAAGAAGAACTAAGTAGCAATAAAGGAGGAAGGGGAAGCATGGTGCAAACAACAGAACGGAAACTCACTTCCAGGGCCTAACTAACGGAAGGTCACATGCCGGTACCCAAAACACAGAATTCCATGAAGTAACGGCTTCTCAGGACCAGGATGCTGGCATCCTCGATCTCCACACGGCTGGACAGGAGTCTAAAGCCTAGTGAAGCTGAACTTCATACACACCCACAACTCTATGATGAGGTTTTCTATAATGACAGTTCCAAATCTGAAGACCATCTTACTACTCTGGTGATTTTTTTTATTTTAACTAAAAATTTTCCCTGTAGTAGTTTTGGATCCTACATGATTTATTTCGTAAGGAGATGTTTGTCTTGCACCTCAGGAAGCATCACGTCCAACCCCGTCATCATGGAGATGTGAAAACAAGGGCCGGCGTCTGGTGAACTTCCTTCTAAGAAGAGAAAGCTGAGAGTGGAATGCAAATTCTTGACTCTGAGTGGTGTCTCCATTGTATCCATCTTCCTTCTTATCTCACACTGCCTCTAGCTAATGACAATGACTAATTCATAACTGGGGGGGGGGGGGGGGGGGGGGAGGAGAATAATGGCCCCTCAAAGATGTCCATGTCCCGACCCCCATACCTGTGAATATGTTAGGTTACACGGCAAAGGAGAATTCAGGCTGCAGGTGGAATTAAGGTTGCTAATCAGCTGACCTTAAAATAAGATTATTCTGTATTATCTAACTGGGCCCAATTAGTCACAAGAGTCCTTAGAGGTGGGAAAAGGAAGCAGAGAAATGTGAGGAGCACTCAGTCCCCTGTTGCTGGCCCTGAAGATGGAGGGAGGGGACGGTGAAGCAAGGCATGCAGGCAGCCTCTAGAAGCTGGAAAAGGTAAAGAAATGGATTTCTCCCCAGAGCCTCCAGAAGGGAACACAGCCCACTCGACACCTTGATTTTATCCCAGTGAAATCTGCGTCAGATTTCTAACTTAGAGACCTGCAAGATGATACATTTACTTGGTCCAAAGTCACTAAAGTTGAGGCAATTGGTGACAGCAGCAATAGGAAACTAAGAGATTTCAGTTTGAAAACAACAGGCCCAAGCAAACTTTTCCAACTTTGTATAAAAACAGATCGTAAAGGTGAACACGTGAATATAGAGCTCGATGAATTTTCATAAACTGAACATCTTCTGCAACCAGCTCCCAGATCGAGAACTAGAACGTCACCCCTCCCCCAAAAGCCTCTCCTGTCCTTGGTCATCACTGACAGTACATTTCCAACTACATCCACTACCTGCAGGGCAGGGCTACGTTTCTGCCTCATTCGAGACAACAGAAACTTCACTCGGTCCCCACACGTCATCACCATCTCCTTCTGTGTTGTACACTTGCACTTTCATTCCTCACAGCACACTCCCCTACACACTCATTCCAACTCACGATGCTGCTCTTTTACACCAGTATGAAGCAAACTGAGTTTACGACTCAGCTCATCCTGAGAGAGGGATGGGATTCCCTTCAGGGCCAGTCTCCGAATTGAGATTTTACATGTGCTGAGCGTGTGCCAAGAAAAATAATCCAAAGCTACAAAGAAAAATTCTAAAGCCCTCGGCTCCTCTTCCACATCTATTTCTTCCCCTCAACCCCGCTCCCCAAACTCTGATTTCAATAACAGGTTTGTTATTCACAATGAAATTACAGAGTGGACTAGTGGAATAAATTCCTTTTTGTCTTTTCAGTTGTTTTAGCACTATTGCTTGGGAGCGTTATCATAGCTGTCGCTGTTAAAATGCTTTCTCTTCCATCGGCTTCTGTAAAAATAAAGGAAAGATTCGGCCAATCACAAGTGCCTGGACCGACGCTGTCTCTCTCGCTTAATCCAGGGCCAGTAAAGGGATAATTTGATTAAACTGAGACCCTAATTTATTTGGCTTTAGTTCTGGATCAACCTCTCCTTAATAGAGTGCTGCCGTCTCCAATTGTTAGATGAAAATTAGAGTGACATAAATGCCATGGGACTTTTTCAATCTGATTAGTCCGCTAAAGCACATCAATACCACCCCAGCCATCACACTCTGGCGTCCTTCCTTTCACCGGCCCGGCAAACAACTGACAACCACTCCTTGCAGGACGAGCACCCACGCTGCCACAGAGACCCCCACGCTTAGCCCGTCATCTCTGCTCAATGGGCCCTGTTGACAAGGTGCCCATACCTTTCTCCATTGCTGTTCTCTGGACAAAGCTAAAGACTGTTTTATTAGCAATCAATGGCTGTTAATCCAAAATGATTTCACAAATCCTCTGAGCCCTCAAGCTGATTATAAATACGCATTTTTCCAAGCCCACAAATTTTGAATTTCACTTCCCCCGCCCTGATGCATGGCCTTTTAGCTGTGAATGAAACTCAAAAGCAAAGGGGTCAACGGCTTTCAAGGACTTAGAAACCAAACTTAAACGTGGATCCTGGTGACAGACTCGGAGATACCAACCCACACTAATTTTCTCTGGAGTGAGGAAGATTCCATTTAGAGACAGGAGGAAGCTATCTTTGAAATCTTAATAACATCCTTTCTGGTTCTCTAACTGCACAAATAAAAAAAAAATAGGAGAAACAAGCTAAAACAAGCTACTTCATATCCAAGAAACACAATTTTTGGAAAAACAGTGTTTAGTTTCCCTAACCATATGGCAGGAGAAAAAGATATCTCTTCTGAGAGCATTTACATCCATTCTGCTATAGCCAGTGTGCCTTACTTTATGCTAGAAAAAAGAATTGATCAAATAAGTTCCCGCTATAAATTTCCTTTCCCAGCACCTGCTCAAAAGAATAAGCACAATGTAATACAACTCGGCAGACATATCTTCACAGGCTCCACAAACATCCAGGGAGACATATTCTCCAATGACTCTTTGAATCGTATTAAAATCCAAAGCTACTAAGTATTTCTTCTCATCTTCTTTACACATGTCTCAAAAGTGGGAACACTGTGACTTAAGATACAACTCGTCCTAACAAGGTATTTCAGCGCTGACTGGCATGGTCAACGAGCCTGCCACAACAATTCAACATCTGGGGCCTCCTTCTCCAAGGAGGGAGGATCTATCATCCTGTAAAAGGGCCCACTTAGCCATATTCCTGCTTCAGATTCTTTCTCCTTTACTCCCTTTGCAATCCAGCCCATAAAATTAGACTAGAAAACAGAGATGCTGACAGACAACAAATGGCATAATCTGAACCCCGTCTGTTTGTGTCCTGGAGGGCATCTCTGTATTTGATGCACAGCGCGCGGGAACCAAGATCTTGGTTAGAGAAAAAGCTCTGGAGAAAAAAATAAAAATCAAACAGGTACTGAGATTCCTGAGTTCATCTCTACGTTCTCACAAAATGTTTCCAGTTGGGGCATTCTTCTTTCTGTGTGATGGAAGTCAAAGAATTCTGCAGACCAAAGGGTCTCAGTGGTCACCTCCTTCTCATTACCAACGAGGAGGCAGTGGCCCATGGGAGCTAACCAGGACACCCATGGCTATTTGGTATCCAGAGCCTCGAACCAGCGGGGGCCCTATCACTTCACGAGCACCCTCTCAGGCATCAAATTAAACAGTACAGATTACGACAGGAGTCAGAGAGCCTTTCCTATAAAGGATGAGATCGCAAAAATTGTCAGATTTGCAGGCTTATGTTAAGTTACACAGCTCTGCCAGCAGGGCACAACAGCAGCCACAGACAATACATTAGGTAATGAGAACAGCTGTGTTCCAGTAAAACTTTACTCGTGGATAATGAGATCTGAGTTTCTTATATTTTCACGTCATGACGTATTATTCCCCTTTTGGGTTTTTTTCAGTCATTTTAAAATACAAAAACATTCTTAGCTAAATGGGCTGTAGAAAAACAGGAGGGCTGGATGTGACCCACAGTCTGTGGTCTGCAACCTGGATTAAAAGAACGTATCATTAGAATCAGAAGCCAGGAGACTCTAACGATGCCTAATAAACGTTACAATCGTTCCATGAATCACATTAAGGGCATTGTGCATTCAACAGAATCCAAGAACCTGGACTGCGAGGAAACAAATGAAGAGGTGAAACCATATTACACCACCTCAAACTCACTAACCGCATCCTTCCCTTAATACACATAAGGGGAAAGCACTACTCCCAGTGACATCTGTGAGTTTTTGCTCCACAGCCCAGGCCAATGTAGATCTGGGTTTCAAAGGGTATTTCAACCTTCACTAGCACACGAGTTACGTATTAAAGCAAGGTGAAGGCCACCTGGGGACTACAGCACCTAGAAAAGCAGGCTCCTGAAAGCAGGTCCAACAAGAAGAGGAAGGTTGGCTCGCATCACGATCTCCCAAGGAGCTTGCTAAAAATAAGTTGCCAAGCTTCCAACCTTAGAAATTCTAATCCAGCAGATCTGGGCGGGGGGCCAAGTAAGGAAGCCGCTGCACCGATGAGACAAATGGGGCTTGTGAAGGTGAAAAAGAAGATCAGCACCTAACACGACTAAAGGAAATGGTTATCCAAACAGCTGACGAGGCTAACAGACCTATCCCTAGCTCCAGTTTCAAGAGAAATCTGGGTTGACTGAATTTTATGAGTTGGAATGTTCTCCCCCAAATTCCTGTGCTGAAGTCGTACCCTCCAGTACCTCAGAATGTGACCTTATTTGGAAACAGGGTCGTTCCTGACATTATTAGTTGAGGTGAGGTCATATTGGGTCGGGTGGTTCTTAATCGAATTGGACTATTGTTGTAAAAAGGAGCAATTTGGACACAGCCACACACGCACACAGGAAAAACGCCAACTGAAGAGACACGCAGAGAACACAGTCATCTATGAGTCAAGGAGAGAAGCCTGGAAAAGTTCCCTCCCTCACAGCCATCAGGGTAACCAAACTTGCCAACACCTGGATCTCAGACTTATAGCCTCCAGAGCTGTGAGACACTACATTTCTGTTGTTTATGCCACCCTGGTTATGGCACCTTGTTATGAGAGCCACAGCAAATTCAGACACTGAAGATCATAAGAGGGTAAGATGGCTACTCAAAGTGTCAACAATGAATGAGACAGAAACCATGAGTTTCTTGGAGTTTCTCTGATGGAAAGTCATATTGCCGAGGAAAAATGTGGGGTGTTCTAGTTACCAAACAGCTACAGAATGACACTAGGCTTCCATTGGCTTTACAGTATTCACCTGATGAGCTCTTTTTCTATAGAGAGGGCTGCCAACTCATAATTCGGAGTAGGGTGAGCTTGGAAATCCACAATCCCCCTTCAGACAACTATTATTACCCAGCCACTTGTGAACTGTCACCTCTTTTAAATTACCTGAAGTTGTCACAACCCCCAAACTTTATATTGCATCCAATCTAAATTAGTTTCACATTAGAAAAAAAAAAAGACTTTCTGGAGGAAACGTCAACTTACTTGCTGCCACTATCCTCTTGAACCATTTAAACCCCAACTCATTTCTGAGATTATAGCTGGCTTAGCAGTTATTTCTCTTGCTTCCCCACCAATACTTTTCAAACTGATTTTGGAGAACAAAAGGTATCGAGTAGCCTGAGGGTGGGATGGGGTGGGGGGAGGGGAACCAACTCCATCTAAAAAAATATTCTGGATAGGGAAGACACCCGATTCCTCTGATTAAAACTGCTTTACGTGATTTGAATACATCAAAACAATTTAGACTTTTTCCTGGAGCATCCTATAACGAGATTTGCCTTGTGTCATGAATATCAACTGCTCCATACCTAATGCAGTGTTTTTTATTTTGCTGAGTCACCACCAAAATCAGGTTGGCACTTGAGACAGTTCAACCTGCAATGCACTAGAACAAAAGTTCTTCAATGCTCTCAGAGGGCACACTGCTTGTGACTGGCCCTGGGAGAGAAAAGCCTGCACCAGCTGCTGAGCAGGAACATGACCCTTTCTAGGAGACATAATCTGCCCATTCCCGGGAAAGTCCAATTTCTCCATAATCCATACTTTCCAGCACAGAGCTCAAACCCAGCTGGGTTCCAAGTGGACATAACAGAACTGCAAAAATTTGGAAATACATCCTTACCGAAAGCATAAATAGAATTATTATTTGGATCACCAGCAGGCCCAGAGAAACACATCTGAGCTAAACCCCTTAGCTGGTATAAACCAAGAGTTCTTAGTCATGCGCTCTCCTAATGGTGCTGATGCGTGGGCCTGTGTATAAATCTATGATAAGCCCCCATAGCAGCATTGTGGTCCTGCATATTTAATAGATACATTTAGCTCCAGCAATCTTCTGCCAGAGGGATAAACTATAGTCAAGGTATATATCAAAATGTATTAACACCTGCCCAGAATCTACATAGTAAGCAATGACTTCTAACTAGGTAGTAAACTATGACTTCTGGACAGAGGCTGATGCAATTTAGAATACCATTAAAAAGAAAATAAAACATGGATTAGAACAGTTCTGCGTCAGTTAAGGCTGAATCACCACTGGGGTTGAATCATCGCCGAAGGCTGAGTCATCACCAAAGGCTAGCTGAATCGTGCCTCTGTTCTGACGTCCTATATCGGAAGTTTAAAGCTTGGCATGAAAATAGGTTCCAGCAAATCATTCATGTGAGAGAGAACGCTTTAAGTTTAAAACATTTATAAAGAAAAAAAAAGTTTACTGCCAACAGCATGAGCCAGTTACTTTTACTCAGACATAATGGTTTGCCTTCATGGGGATGTGGTGACAGCAACATTTGCAAGAGGCAAGACCTTGTAAATATTTACGACATCTCTCACCACGAGGACTGAACTCAAGGATTACTTTGAAGGAAAGATGAATTCATCAGTACTATCCAAAGAATAGTAAAAGCTAGGGCAGCCTATGAAATCTTAAATGATAAGAGTTTATTTACATTTAAGCACCACAAACATAAAGAAAAAGAGGAAGAATGGAATCTTTGACGTTACTGGCCGGCAAAAGGTTAAGGAGTCTATTTCTTCCTTACCGCCCCAGCTTTTTTTCTGGTGGTACCCAGGCAACAGAATCCAACATCATGACCTTGAAAGGCAGAAGCATAGTCATCCAACTTTTCAAAGTCCACCACTTCTTGATTCTAGACGACAAGGACAAAGCTGTATATAACTTGATGTTATTAAAAGACAGAGGAAAATACCCCTCTTAGATTTAAAGAATAAGTTACAGAACATTATTGAAGAGGCTGCCCGCTTACCATTAAATTTTGCGAGCTCTCTGCTCTGGCATCTCTTTCTCTTGCCAGTCTCCTTCTATCTTTTCCATGTTAGACTATTTAGCAGGGCAGATTCCTAGGTACGGAAATTGCGATGCCGCATAGTGTTTCTTTTACTTAGTAAGAAACCTCTGAAAGGGCCAGAGCGGCACTAGTATAGAGTGGCAGAAAGCTGGGGCATTAGACATTAAGCATGGACACATTTAGTACTTTATACAGAATTAATAAGTTACTGGGTAGTTTTTAAGACCTATGACCACAGGATTGTTACAGATACTATTTATAAAATTGATACTTTGCCGGGAGAAAAACCGAGTTTAGTAACATAATAGAAATTCAATTAAGGAAAATGCATAATCATATTTTTTAAAAATTTTGCAAGCTCATTTTCTCCCACTAAAAAGTTATTAATCTGAATTCAAAATCAACAATGCACTTAGATGTCCACAGTATATATAATTGGACTATAAGTGATCCCTAGATCTCTAAAGTCAAGTTCAATTATCATTTTCTCTCTGGAAAAATAAAAGACCTGTCTATACCACCAGAAGGGATACCAGTGAGGTATAATTTCAGGGCAAGGAACGGTGTTTGGAACCTCAAAGACCTAGGTTCGACTCGAGCCTGCTACTTACTAAGCCTATGATTTTGGCCAAGTTATTTACCATGTGCCTGTTTTTCCACCAATAAAATGTGAATGATAATCTTTCCTTCAGTCCAATTCATGAACCACCTATTTTAGAATCGGCCAGTGAGTGTTTGATAGAAAGGCTTCTTCTTAGGTGTTGCACCGATACTTCTGAAGCAGAAAATGCCCTTGTAATAAGCACCCTCAGTAATTTTCATGCTCACTCAGGTTTAAGAACCTTCATGAAACCTCATAAATTTGTTGTGAAACCTAAAAAAGAAAGATTGAGGGATGCCTGGGTGGCTTAGTTGGTTAGGCATCAGATTTTGGCTTGGGTCATGATTTCGTGGTTTGTGGATTCGGTTTGTGGGTTCAAGCCCCGCATAGGGCTCTCTGCTGTCAGCCCACTTAGGATCCTCTGCCCTCCTCTCTTTTCCCCTCCCTAACTTGTGTGTGCACCCTCTCTGTCAAAATAAATAAAGACTGGGAAAAAAAAAAAAAAAGATTGAGAAGTTCCAATCACCCAGGAGTTCAAATAAAATGTAGTTTTCCTTCCCTAGTAACAACTCTTTCAAAAGGATTTTCAGGGCACTATGTGCAATGCTGAAGAAAAGTATGTTCGCATTAAGTGCATAACCAAAAGATGTGCCACCAGAACTCATTTATCAAAGCACAGAACTCAATTTCCGTTTTTAATTACCAGGAGTATTTGACATATTCCATGAAGGCAGACTATGAAAACTACTTATTACCTAAGTCTGAGCAAAGATGTCCATTTTAAATAGAAAAGTCCTGGTGGCCATAAGCTCTATGCAAAATGACTGACCGTGGGTATTCAGGGGGTTAAGAACATGTATAGTGAGACACTTGTTACCTAGAATGTTCCACCTGTGAAGCCTATGGGACCAAGTTCTGTAGTTGTGGGGTCTCAGAATTACATTATAGTTTAATCTGCCACAGTTCACAACTCCCTTTAAATGAGGAAAGGAATCTCTACAAAGCTCAGACTTCAAATATTTAGGGGAATCTGGCATGTATCATTTGGCTAACCATGTAAGGGTGGCAGTGCAGAGAATATTCCACTTACATCCACAAGGCTGCAGCCCTGGGAAGTTAAGAGGGCAATCTTATAAGTGAATAACCGCACCTTTCATTGCCATAAACTCTGCTTGCAATTCACTGACATCAGCATTGAGTGGACAGGTAAACAAGACAAGCAAAGTGGTTTAGAAAATTGCCCCAGGTTACAGGTCTGCTTCTAGAACCCAGCTTGAATGGCCCTGAAAATGTGCTCTTCTCTGTCCCCCCCCAGGCCCCATTACATTCCAGGCCGGCCTTACAGGAGTCTAGATTGAAAGAAGGGCTTTGCCCAAGGTCACACAGTGAGTGGGTAGGCTGACCTGGGCTTAAAACCGCGACAAAACTTCCAGAAAGGGTTCTCACAGACCATTCTTGGCCACATTCTGATCACCTCTACCACTGCACAGGCCATGTTCAGCCTTTAGGCTTAAAAATAGGTTCACTCCACAGAATCGCTGCAAATACATTTTTGAGTCCCAGCTAAAATACCCACCACATTTTTATAAGCTTCCTCATCGAAGGTGAGCTTTCTCCGGCCAATGAGCGTGACTTTGGAAAACAGGTTCTGTTCCAAGATTTCTTTTAAGAGCATTCTGCCGGTTTCCCCGCTGGCCCCCAGAATAAAGACAGATTTATTCTGCATCCTGAAGTCTTCCCGAAGCTTCGGCAGCGCCTCAGTCTCAGCCATGCTACAGAAATAACATCGACAGATGTGGTCTTGGGATGTTTAAAGGATGGCCCTTGCTTATCCTGGGGAACAATGGTGGTTTATTTGTTCTAGAAAACAGTATTATTTTTCTCCGCAGTCTGGGCCCAGGGGAAAGTGCTGAATCACCTGCAGGGCGTGGCGCCCTGGCCGTCCCGGCACCTGAGTAAATCTACTGCTCGGGAGGGCGCTAAGGAGAATGCGCCCAGGTGCCACGGCACCCATGGGCCTGGTTCTCCACCGGTACCTCCGGTTCCAACCCCTCCTTCCTCCGCCCACTGGGATGCAGGGGCCTAGCTCGGTCCCCTGCACGGAGGGGTTACCTGGAGCCGGCCCCCGGCCCCGCGTCCTCAAGCCACAGCAGGAGCAAAGCGGCCAGTAGTGCCGCCGCTGCCGCCGCCGCGCTTAGCGCCGCGGGCCCGGGAATCAGGGAATCCCCCCTTCCCCGCGTATCCGCGTCCCCTCGCCCCATTCGGCGGATGCCCCTCCCAAGTGCGCGCGGGGGTCGCGGGCGGCCGGAGCGCACGCCTACCCGACTACGTCTTCCGGTGACTTAGCAGAGCCGCTGCCTCGCCCCGCCCGGGGGGGCGGGGCCTGGGGGGAGGGCGCGGGGCGGACCGCGAACACGTGCGCAGCGCGGCTGGGTGGGAAGCTTGGAGACCGTTTCCTAAATGTCAGCCTTCGCCTGCATCCTTTTTTCGACCTTCGTTCCGCCGCCTAGGCTAAGGTCGCCCTCATCCAAGGCCTCGGCCAGTAGATGCGACCTTCGCTGGTCTCTTTCTAAAACGTGTCATTTCAGTCGTGTATTGGACATCTCTATCTCGAATTCACCATGACAAAACCTTAACCGTTCCCATCCAACCACCCCAAACCGAAATTAAACAAACCTCCTTGCCTCCCTTGGGTCTTGCTTTGCCTATACATTCTCACATCCTCACCCCTCCTCTCTCAAGTCAGAAATTTGGGCTGTCCCCTTTGACTCCTTTTTCCTGGCCTTTCCACCGTCCAGATTAATCTCCAAGTCCTGCCATCCTATCAGCCTTTCAGACATTTCTCTTGTGTAATTCTCGCACCAGAGCTCACCAGTAAAACTGGTTTCCCTACCCAGGTCCCAGACTGTGAGCCAGGGTGATCTTCCACACCTGATCCCATGGTTCACTCTCCCAGATCAGTGGTGTTCAGAACATAACAATCTACATTGGGCCTGCCCTGGATCTTGAAGTCCTTGTCAGGAATTAGAATCACAAGTAGGAATCTGAACAACAGAGATAGACTGCGTTGTAAACGTTGGTTATTCTGGGCTGCCCAGCATTCAAACTCTATCCCTATTTTTGGGAGTTCCAAAGTAAGTGGGACACAGGACCCCACCTCCCCCTCTAGAAGCCAAGTGAACCATGTGTTCCCTCACCCAACTCCTTGTGAATTGTTATATATAGGTGAGACCTAGGCTCAGCTCATCAGACACTGCCATCTAGGTTTTCACTTCTGGGGGAGTGAAAATAGATGCAGTGGAAGCCTCAGATAGGGTTCAACTGGGCGAACCAGCCATAGGATAAGGGCATCATCCTCTGATCTGTCAGAGAGCTGATGGTGTGATCCTTTCCGTGTTAATTCCTGCCTGTTTACAGAGCCTGTTCTTTATAGTTTACTATTCTTCCTGTAATTTCGTTTTCTGCTTCAGCTAGCCAGAGCTACTTCTCTTGCTTGCAATAAAAAACCTTGAATGATACAAAGCAGAGTGATTTGTTCCCCACTGACCTGTCACAGTGTTTGCACCCTTCCCTTTGGGCTCCTAAAGCTTTTCCACTAAAATGCAATTTAAAATCTTGTCAACTAGCACTGTCTCAAGAATTTATTCATCATATCTCTTGCAGAGATTAATTGTCCCCAATGTCCATTCTCCCCTTTCTTGTTTTTAGTTGTGGCATAATTGCTATACAATAAAAGGCACAGGTCCTAAAGGTTCAGTTCCATGATTTTAGACAATTATATATACACCTAGGTAACCCACCCAAAACAAGATATAGAACATTTCTGTCAACCTGGAAAGCACCTTCATTCTTTTTTCTAGGCAATCCCTCCCCATCCCAGAAGCAACCATTTTCTGATCTCTGTTGATACAGATTACTTTGGCTGTTACAGAACTTCATTAAATAAAACCATACAGCATATACTCTTTTGTGCCCCAAGTTTTTCTGCTCAACATAATGTTCTTAAGACTCATCCCTGTTGTTTGTAGGATTGCATTATGACCTCCGTGGGCCCTTGGGACTTCATGGGCCCCTTTCTCCATAAAAAATGAAGTTAAAAAATTATATTTTATAACTGTGTTACTATAAAAACAAACATATCCATATTATATATTAATAAAATGTTTTCTTCAGCCTGAAAGTTCATTTTTTCCTCCTGATTTTAAAGAAATTTAAAGAAATTTAAATTTAGATTTGTATCAGTACTTTGTTCCTCTGTTGCTGAGTGGCATTCCATTGCTGAATATCCCACAACATGTTCCATCATTCTCCTGCGGGTGGACATTTGGTTTGTTTCCTGGTTTGGGCTCTTATGAATAAGACTTGTATGAGCACTCTTGTACCAGTCATTTTGTGGGAATATGTTTTCATAACTTTTAGGTAAATACCTACAAGAGGAAGGACCAAAGCGTTTGCTAAGGTTCACATACCATTTTCTTCTCCTACCCACTTGGTATCATTGAACTTTTTAATTTTAGTCATTTAGTGGATGTTGAATGATCAAAGGGCTCCTCGTCTTTCTTTGAGCAATAGGGCTCTAAGTTATATCTGACCACACGGCTGTCCATTTAGATTCTATATTTCCTGGTATCACTTGCAAGACAATATGACCATGTGACAATGTTTTAGCCAATGAACCTCAAGCAGAGATAATATGTACATATTTTAATCAGATTTTAATAAGGAAGTTACCTGCTTTCCCTTCATTTTCTCTTTCCTCCTATCATTAGGCCAGAATGTGAATGTGGTAATAGTGGGCCAGCTCTGGTCCTGGGAAGAAAAATACCCTAGGAGATGGCAGAGCAAGAAGTTAGAACCTGAGTCCCTGGATGACTTCAAAGAACAGAGACACTTACCTACCCTGGACTGCCTGCCCATCTGTGGGCAATGGGAGAGAAGTACACTAAAGTCATGTTGGAGCTACCATAATTTTGTTTCAGCAGCTTAGCCAGCATTTGCCCTATATAAAATCCTTTTAGTCAATCTTGTCAATGGATATTTACTGATTATTTAATGTGAGGTAAATACTGTGCTAGGCACTATGGATTTTTCCAAGATGAATCAGATACCAGATAAATTTACTCTCACCTGAGGTGGCAAGTCATGAATACTTCGGGAGCTAAATAGAAGTACATGTAAACCTTATCAAGCATCCCCAAACCTTGATAGGGTAGTACATGCTAAATGCCAAATGAGTATACACACAAGAAATGGAAACTCAGAGAAAGACAAACCCATGACTTGTCTTCTCTGACAGTTGGCTAGCATCAAGGCCCTGCGATAATGTGACATGTCCTAGGCTACTAGGGCAATAGGGTAACAAACGATTATGGCAAATAGGAAAAGAAAGGCATAAGGGAAGGAGGGAAAAAGGAACATAGAAAAATCTCAGGCCAGAAGACCTACCTGATAAGTCCAGGTTTGATATCCACCTTTAACTTAAGTGAAGTTTCTTCATTTATCTTGGCCTCCATTTTGTTATCTGTAAAATGGGAACCATTTTATTATGTTCATTTTGCTCCAAAGAACAGAGACACACGCATGAAAACTTGAGTAAAGATGGCGAATATTATAAGGATACACAAATTGTGTAAGGGAGACAGAATCTCAGAGAAATCTGAAAATAGGTTCTTCTGTAGGATTGGGCCTCATGGAGATGGAATGGGAAGGCAGTTCTGTATTTAGGTCAAATGGAGGGGCTTTAGGATTGGGGATCCATGCATCTTCACTTTAGAGCTATATTTTTAGTTACACCTTAATTAACACTCTTTCCATTTCAAGCAATTGAAATAGCAACTGAAAATGTTTTAAACAAAAAATATACTGGCTCATGCAACTGAAAAATTAGTGGGTGTGACAGCTTCAGACATAACCGGAGTCAGGCCCTGGCCAACAGGGCCAGGATTCAGTCCCTTTGGCTCCCTTGGCTCTGGTCTCCTTCATGTTGATCTTCTCTCATATGCCACAAGATGACCTGAAGATTGTGAGCAGCTCCAGCCCTTTACCCAGGTCAAAGATAGGAAAGATAATGGCACTTCAAGTGGGTAATCTAGGGTAAGTGTACTAAATGGATGGTGTTTGAAAGATCAAAGGTGGGGGAGGGGATAAGTTACCAAAACTTAGACAGGACTGTCTCATAGGAGCTGTGATCTTCAGTCGAAGAGACCCCCACCAAGGAGAAGTCAGGGGAATAATACCCCAACCTCTCTCTTCTCCCTCCCTTTGATCTCTTGCTGGTACTTCTAATTGGCTGAACTCAACTAGAAGTTAGGGGAACTTATATTGTGCAGACCAGGTTTCTTCAGGGCATAGAGCAGGGGGAAGAAATGAGGAGAGTGGCTCATTCAAGACATCAAGTGCAACATCCCAGATTCAAGTCTAGCAGAAAAGGGCACAATTGTAAGCCAAAGTCTCAAGCTGTGTCTCCTTCATTCGGATTATATCCTGATCATCCCTGTAACTGAGGGAATGAAGCCTGGATGGGGCTAACTCATTCCACACATCTGGGAGTAGGGGAGGAGGTAGAGCCCCCAAGGAAAGTAGGGGTCACTATTACAAAAAGAAAGAAGCATGGATGTTAAATGGCATCTAAAGTGGCCATACTTCTCCATTTGTTATCCCATTTATACTTAAATATCTATACTGGATTTTTTTTTTTTTTTTTTTTTTTTTTTTTTTTTTTTGCAAAGGAGACCTATAAATAAATACAGCATGACTGAGACATGTGGTTGGGCCAGAAAGGCAGGGTAGAGGCAGGGGTAGGTTTTGGTAGAGGTAGGTTTCAGAAGAAAATCTGGTAATATTCCCCTATCACAGGACAAATGTAACCATTAATTGCATTCAACAACTTAGGTAGCTGATTTAGTTTATCTATGATGTTCTTGACAGTGATTTTTTTTTCCCCTTTGAAAGTTGTGGGAGCTGAGAGCTGCTGGCATACGTGCCTATGTTTCCTGCCTCCGTGCTAAGTTGTTTTTCATTTTAGAGGTGGAAGAACTGAGTCACATATCTGTTAAATATTTTATCTAAGATCAGAGTTAATCAGGACAAGTACCTAGATATCCAAGTCAATGACAAAATATCTACGGCAATTCTGGGATCTTTTCCATGAAAGCATAGTGCCTCTTAAATTAGCTGATTGTCCCGTATTTGTTGTATTATTCAAATTCCCTAGCATTTTGGGGTGTGTCCTCTCAGTGATCTATGTTGAGGGAAGGTAAGTGGAAGTGTGGCTGGTTTTGAGGGGCCAAAAAAGCAATTCGGCTGAAATAGAAGGACAAAAGCATGGGGCAGGGGTGG